GGGGAGGGAGAAGTGGACACAATAGTAATGACGGTGAGAGATAAGAAATGCCGGTCCCACGAGTGGCAGCAAACCGTGTGCCATCGAATTCCCAGCTGAGTTCAAGACCACGGATGATGAAAATTTAAATGGGGATTTTCAGTTAATACACCTGACAATTGCAATGGAACAATGGCGAGGAAGAGGTGAGAGGAAAATCGAGACCTCTTCAAAAATCTGATGAATACAGTGGGAGAGGGTTCTAAGTACTTTTTATTTTTCATAATCAGCATTTTCACATGAGTTTTTTATTTGAATTCAAGATCCGAAATATTTCTTCAGGATTTCGTTGTCATTGTCGGAGATTTCTGATTGCTGGTGGAGCTGGTCGAGAAAAAACGTGATTATTGCAGATTATTCTGTTGTTTAAAGGATGATTTGTCTGTGCCTATTGATTTTCAACCAAAGTAATCCCGTCGTAATCGCATAATTCCCCACATGAACGACTGTTCCCTACAATGCCTTACTGTATGAATGTCGATACCGCTGGTACACGTGGGCTGTTGCATGCGATAACATTCATACATTGTCACAACCGCATAACCACTTGAACACCATAACTGCGGTGCATAGAGTACCCGGGTATTGTCGCCCTTTTCCAGGTACATACGCTCATATCGCCGGGAAAACGTATGAAACATACAAAATGGAATTAGTTCGAATGTTATCTCAGAATTGTGATAAGATCAGATTTTTTTTTCCTTTTAAAAAAAAAGCATGTAACTTTTTTTGTCAGCCTTTTTTTTCGGTGTATAGCTAAGCTAAGGTATGCACATCACACTATATATATATATATAATATAATATAATGTACCATTTTAATAAAATAATGATTTGTCTAGAATAAGAAAAAACAATTGTATTTATCAATTGAATTTAATTAACGAAAAAATCATAAATTATGAGTCATTTTTTTAAATATCTAAGATGATTTTAATATTTAGATTTTATATGTCAAATGATAACGTGGAGCGTAGAATAAAAATTACAGAATTTTTATAATGAATGAATATAAATATGAATTTTTAATTATGTGAGTTCGAATTGAATTCCAATTTTAAAAAGCAATTGAATTTCCCATTTATCTTGGAAATTCAAGAAATCAGATTTTCCACGTTAAATGATAATTAATTCTTCAAAAGGGTTTGAATTTAAAAAAATCCATTTGAATTTTTGAAAATTAACAAATACCAGAATATTCAAGCGTAATGTTCCAATAGTGTATATTATTGGAGTAAAAAAAATTCTAATTGAATAATTTCTAGGGAATCATCCAATTTAACAACTGAAAAATTGGGATGAATCCTGTAATGACAGTCATCCGGTTGATTTATCCTTACGTAAAAACGGGCATTATATCATACCAGAGTCATGCATAAACTCAAAGATAACATCTTCAATGAATCAAGATAGAGGATTAAATAAATACCCCGTGTTAAGTGGGTAATGAGAGAAGTTATTAATGAAAACGCGTTAAAGTTATCTTGGAAAAAAACCTGCGGTGAGCGATTCTCGACGACTCATGTCCTTCCTGGCGAATGAATCATTACTCTGATGGGAGAAAATTCACGGGGAAGCAAAAAAGTCAGGAAAAAGTATTATGGTTAAGATAAATAGCGCTCAGACGTGTTTATACTTGCGGTTTTTGTTTAAAAAATATTTACGCATCGATACACTCGTCCCACAATAATTTCAGCACGTAGTGCTATCATGGACACGATTCCGGTGGATTCTACCTTCATCTCAAGGTTTCTCTGGATCACCACAATGAAAAGAATGAATTCTGATCCAATGGTACGGCATTATTAATAATTATTAATTAATTCTGGTGATCGGCGATTCAAAACTGACAGAAATTTTCAGGTGTAATTTCTCGAAAACTTCAAAATTATCAGATTTTCCCCGATTATTCGAAATTAGGAAAATACCTGATTAATTTGGAAGGTCGAGGGGTAGATTTTTGTTAAGTACGATTTTTCTATCAAGTTTTCATTCGATTTTTTTATTTACATCTCTATTTATATTTTATAAGCATCTTAAAAACTAGTACTAAAAAAATTCTGTGAAAATATATTCAGCACTTGTCCAAGAAAAATATATAGGTTCATTCAGGACTCTCAAGATCGTTAAGTATTCGATGAATTTTATTTCTTGTGTAACCCTTTATTAATTAAATATGTCTCTTCTCACATTTGGGATTTTTAGAA